AGGGCCCATGGATGCTCCAGGAAGGACGTTGTGGGGGATGTAGGACATCACGTGTGCTCCAGGAAGGATGTGGTGGAGGATGGGATGGCTCAGGGCCCCTCCATCCCCCCTGGAAGGGAGATAAGGCACTGCAGGATCCATCCTGCCCCCTGGCAGGGGGGTCCAGGGGAAGGGATACCTCAAGGTCCCTCTGCATCCCGTGGGGGTTTTCCAGGGATCTGTCTCCTGGGAAGCCGTGGCACAGCTGCAGGTCGTGGTTTGCCCCACCCCAGCTCAGGGGGGCCATCGGTGTCACCTCCCGGTTTGGGGGTCTGCACCCCAGCCCTGCACTGCCTCCAGCATAAATCCCTGTCTGTGTGTGAATTCCTCGTCTTCCTCCTTCCCCCAGAAGGGTTTAAAACAATCATAACGTTTCCGAGCCTTTGCCAAGCACAGAAATGCAGGAATGTGGCCGAAATTCCTTTAGGGAAGAAGTTTTTGGGGGCTTTGTTCCGCGCGGACCTGGCTGGGCTGTGCCTCCGGGAGCGTCCCCCCTGCTCCCTGGCCCCCTGGATCCCGGGAATTCAGCTGGATTGCTGCCCGAAGCTGCGGGCTTGGAGAGGGACCTCCCTCACCCCCCCCCTACCCAGGGCAGCGGAGGGAGTGGGATCGGAGTGAAAAGGGGCTGGAAAAACTTTTCCCGTGGAGAAAAACGCGGCTCCGCAGCCCTTGGAGATTCCTGGTTTGCCCTAAAATGGGAGCGTGGGGAAGGAGGAGCGGTGACTAACCCCGGAGATGGTGTCTGGGTGTTTCCCCGCCGGCGTTTATTTTGCTTTCCTTAGCAAAATGCCTGGAGAGCGGGCGGTGCTGGGGCTGGATCGGGATTCTTGGGGCCTAATTGAAACCAGGACGGCTCCAGAGAGAGCCACGGCCTGGCGGGAGAGACGAGTGGTTCTGGCACAGGGGGACGTGGAAGAACTCCCCGTCCGTCCTTCCTGTGGTTTTGGGAACGGAGCTGGGATAGGAGCTGGGAGCTCGAGGAAAGCCACGCTCCCGGTGGGAAAAGTTTACGGAGCTGTGCAAAGCAGGGGCCCCAAGGTTTGGGAGGCCGAGCCCATGGACTCGTCTCAAAGGTCTCCAAGGGCGTCAGGGGCTGTTAATCCCGTGGGAGCAACGTCCAGCGTGGCTGGACACCGTGTCACAGCTCCTGGTTATCCTGCATTGGATAGTCCTGGTGGATTTGGGTGCGAGGTTGGAGATCCCCAGGAATTTTTGAAAAGGCTCCAGGTAGACCTTTCAGCATCTTCCTGGTTCCCAAAGGGGCTCCAGGAGAGCTGGAGAGGGACTGGGGACAAGGGATGGAGGGACAGGACAAGGGGGAATGGCTTCCCACTGCCAGAGGGCAGGGTTAGATGGGATATTGGGAAGGAATTGCTGGCTGGGAGGGTGGGGAGGCCCTGGCACAGGTTGCCCAGATTCCTGGAAGTGTCCAAGGCCAGGCTGGATAGGGTTTGGAGCAACCTGGGCTAGTGGAAGGTGTCCCTGCCCATGGCAGGGGGTTGGAACTGGATGATTTTTATGGTCCCTTCCAACCCAACCCATTCCATGATTCTCCAATTGGCTCTCTGTCTCCCTCCCTTCCTGCAGCTTCGCTTGCATAAGGAAAATTTACTTCCCCTTGCAGCATTCGGTATCACAAGAGCTTTGAAGGCTCTTTATCTTCACCCTTGGCCCCTGAGGATGGAAGTGAGCACGGAAAACATGGAAAGTTCTCACGCTGTGCCAGGAGCATCTCTGCTCACTCCAAGCCTGGAGCTGGAAGGTGTCCCCAGGGTGGGTGACAGCTTTGCAGCGTGGAAGAAGCTGCACTTTTTTATTTTTTGGAGAGGACTCCCAAGGGCTGGAGCTTGTCCAGCCAGGTGGGAGAAGGATCGTGGGGAGTCCGGGAGCCACCGGAGCTTCCAACCGGCTCCCGACGTCTGGTGTGGCCCCCATTGCAAACAACTTTTGTTTAGGAGGAAATTTTTTAGTCCCAGATGAAAAAAAGAGCAAAACAAACAGAGGGTCCCACCCTCCTGGCCCAGGCCTGTGCCCCGGAGATAACCAGGGGAGGGGGTGGGAGTTGGGGCTGTGCCAAGAGCTGCTTTTTGGGATCCCGTCTCCGGCCCTCACTCCTGGGCACAAACCCGCTGCCAGCTGGGATGGGATCCTGCCTAGAAAAGGCCTCCATTGTCAGTGTGTTGACCTTGCTCTCGTTTTCCTGCTGATTTTTTATTGCATGGAAACTTCACCGGTGGGTAATTATGATCCTTGTTTTCTGCTTCGGTGGAAAATGTTCCGTCAAAACTTGGACTCTTCTCCGGGAACGCGCCGGTGGCCGGGGGTGTTGATGAGCTGCTTTGTCCGGCTCAGTTCTCGGTCGTTTCAGTGTTTTGCCGGAAGAAAATCAACTCCTGGAGTTGCACAAGAGCAGCCTGAGAGCTCCCATGGCCTTTTTGGGCATCCCAAGGCTTGTCCCACGCTCCGGCAGCTCCAGGCATTGGGCTTGGCAGGCAGAGCAGGCGCTGAGGATCCCATCATTTCTCCCTTTCCACTTGAGCCTTCCCACATCCAAAAAAACATGTGCCTGGGCAGGATGCTCCTGGTCCTCACCTCCCCATCCCAGGACCTGGTCCCTGCAGCTCTCTGTGCTGCCTCATTTTTTGGGAAGTCAAAAAACGTGGCAGGTGGTGATTCCCTCCCAAAGCAGGGCCCAGCCCAGAAGAAGAGGGATTTTTGGGGTACTCACAAGGCAGCTGTTGCTTCTGCTTCCTGACATCCAGGAAATGCCCTTGGAGCCCCCCATAGGGTCTCCTCCTGCTTTCCCTGTGGGAAAGACAGGGAGTGTCACCTCCGTATCCACAACATCAGCAGGAATCTGGGGAGGCTGGAAGTGCATCCAGCAAAAAACAAGCTTCCATCTGACACCCATCGGGCTGTGTTTTCATTAAGTCATGGAATGGTTTGGGTTGGAAGGGACCTTAAAGATCATCTTGTTCCACCCCCTGCCATGGGCAGGGACACCTTCCACTGGCCCAGGTTGCTCCAACCTGGCCTTGGACACTTCCAGGGATCCAGGGACAGCCACAGCTTCTCTGGGCAACCTGTGCCAGGGCCTCCCCACCCTCCCAGCCAGGAATTCCTTCCCAATATCCCATCTATCCCTGCCCTCTGGCAGTGGGAAGCCATTCCCCCTTGTCCTGTCCCTCCACCCCTTGTCCCAGGTCCCTCTCCGAGGTGCTTGGAGACCTTTTCCCCTTGGCCAAGGTGTCACATCCCTTGGGTGGGGTCTCAGCATTGAGGGGGGCAGGAGGTATCTGGAAACACCTGCAGGGTTGGACCTCGGATCTTTCACTGCATGGGGACCCAAAATATCCTTGATTTTACTGCCTGGGCTGTGGTGGGAAGGAGCAGTGGGCATCCAAGGCTTCCTGGGCTGGCTGAAGAAAACCCTGACTGTCATTCCTTCCTCTCTCCCTCATGGAAATACCATTTCCATTTGCCTGCTGTCCCTAAGACCTCCCAGCCCCTCGGAAATGGGAGAGGTTAACGCCATGAGTCTGCTGGCCATGCAAACACCGGGCTGCTGGAGCAAAATCCGGGGCTTTCCAGCACTGGGATCTCGTGTTGAAGGGGATGATAAGTGTGGCAGGAGTCCTGGTTCCTGGCTCTGGTGTTTTCCTGCAGTGCCTTGCAGTTGTTCTCTGGCTGCTGCCTCGTATTGGGAGCGACGGCAGCGCGTGGCCGTCGGCGTCTCTGCGACAGGGAAGTTGTCTTGGGAAGTTGTTCCCCCTGCAAAATTAGCTCAGCCTCAAGTTCCCCAAAGCCCTTCCGTGCTTCACTTCACTTCCCTTTACTTGTTCCTGTTCCTCCCCAGCTGTGCAGGGGGAGCCTGGGCTTGTGTGGGGCCGCAGCATCTCCACCCTGGCAGCAGGAATGGGACAATCTCCTCCCGCTCCATCAGCAAAGGAGCTTCCCTCTGGGTGCTGAACTTCTCCAGCCGAGGTCCTTGAGGCCACCAGGGCTTTTCCTGCTCCATGCCATGATGGAGCTCTTTTGGGCTGAGGCTCGGTGGAAAAGAGACAGGGAGTTCCTTGGGTTTGGGGGAAAGATGTCATGGAGATGGGCCGAGATGGCAGAGAAGGAGTTTGTGAGTCCCATCACTGCCTGGAGCTCTGTGGCTTGGCATGGAGAGGGAGAAGCAGCTGGGAGGAAGGAAAGGGCTGATCCAGAGGCACATCCAGGGCTGATCTGGAAAGTCAGTAATGGGTCCTGTCCATCTGCTCAGCAGTATGGGGGCTTTGGAGGCTCCCAAACTCCCTCAAGACCAAGGGATGATCCCCAAATCCCTGCAAGGACTCCCTCACTAAGCCCCTCACCAGGCACTTTTCCCTCCCCCTCTCCCTTGGGACCCATCACATCCCCTCCTTGCTGTGGCCAGTGCTTTCCCTGGCGCTGTCCTTGTGCTTTCCCAGGGATAGATCCACTCTAATCTCCTCCTCCAGCCCCTCTGGACCCATGTCAGCCCGTGCTGTGCTTGTGGCCACCTCCCTCCCTCATCAAATTAAAAGCAGGAGCTCATTAGCAGTGGAGCCCTCGGGGCTGTGGCATCTCTGGGATGCGGTGCTTGTTGTCATTCCCATCTCTGGGATGCGGTGCTTGTTGTCATTCCCATCTCTGGGATGTGGTGCTTGTTGTCATTCCCATCTCTGGGATGTGGTGCTTGTTGTCATTCCCATCTCTGGGATGCGGTGCTTGTTGTCATTCCCATCTCTGGGATGTCTGGGGTGCTT